CTATTTTTCTACCTCTCAAAACTCACACATCCTGTTACAATAATACTGTATGTGTTCCTCGAGACATATCTCTGGGTAACTTCAAAGGATCATTCTTTCTCCTAAATACTGTCCTAGAGATTAAGGATTTAAAAACTGGATGGACTTTTTAAGACTTATGTATGCAATTCAACCACTTTTATTTCAAAAACCAAGAATCAAAATCTCACAAAAAGTAAAATAGTCAAAAGCAGATGTCACTTTAATAGTTTCTGGATTTACATGTAAAAATTAATGAAACCAGAATACAGTTATGTGTAAAATGTTCAGCGCACATGCCTATATATTTTTTTCCAGAGATTCCCTATCTTTCACTAATTCTCAAGTGTGTCAATAATTCTCCCCCCCAAAAAATGACAACCAGTGATTGATCATATATTACATATACCAACTAATATCTATATACTAATATATAGTATACACATATTTCTATGCACACACACACATATTTCCTCCTAGGAAACGCCGCATGTTAAATACCAGTTATCATAAAATGTCTTGACTTTAAAACAAGCCAGATAAACTGCATTAACTTCCAAATGCTTCTTGGAAGTTGGATTTGGCACAGGAAGTATTGAAGTTTTAAACAAACACAGAAAAACATAAGAAAAGGATAGATCCCATGCATAAACGGTTATTTTCAGGTGTTCTGTTAAGTATTTAATTCTCTAAATTACTTCTTGCATGATCTCATTCTTAAGAATAAAAAATACATGAATGTGCAAAATTAAAGTATTTGAATGTGAATGTCACAGATCATACATTTCCTTAAACCACAGTGTCCTCAAAATGGGAAATGAAACTGAAGAGAATTATTTTGTTTATTAAACAAAAAGTAAGCTGGTGTAAATAATTTTATTAACTACTGAATTTGCTCATAAGCCTAATCTTAAATACAGTTACCTCATGTCTAATTCTATTTGTTAAGATTTTCTGGAATATTCCCTCTTAGAATATCAGAAACAAGCATGAGGTTTCCATTCTCTTTTAAACTTGTTCTAGGGGCCCTCCCTGGTGGCTCAACAAGTTAGGGCACAACACAGCAAGCTAGCAGCAGCAGCAGCAGCAACTTCAGTACGTGTTCCATCCCAGATCCCAGGACCTGAAGTGATCTACATGGCGCGGCAGACCTCTCCTGTCTTAACAACTGCTCCCCTCAGCAGTGTACTTCGTCAATCTATCTGTTCTGCTCCCCACTCTATCTCTGGTAAATCATCTCACCGCTCCTGCACCTCTGGCCTGTACCCCAGTTCTCTATGCATAAATAAATAAATCTTTAAAGAAAAAAAATACTGTTATCTTTATAAATTTGTTCTAATCGACTTTTATTGAAACACTTCCATATCAAGAGTTGAAGTAAGGACTGGATTGATCAAAGCATGCCTCCTGGAGAAGGAGAGAGATAAATGTTAACTGCCGCAGAAAACACAGTTATGAATGGTGCTGTAATCCAAATCCTATGGGAACAAAAGGAAGGGGATAACCAATTTATTTCAGTGTTAGCAGGGAAGAATGAATGCAGAAAAGTTTCATGAGAAAGATAGCATTTAAATCAGTCTAAAGCAGGGTTTCAAAAGCTAAAGACATTTTGTACCAGTTTCTTCACGAAATGGAAAAAGGCAGGATTTCAAACTTAATTTGTTTTAGGAACCAATTTGGAGGCACTTCTATTGTTAGGTGAATGTTCTTTGTATTGATATGGTTTATGCTCTCAATGAAATGCAGAGTAACCACACAGGCCTCTGTCTGAAAACAATTTTGTATTTATGAAGTTCTCACTCTGACTTCATATAGTTCTAAAATGTACTCTCTAACATCTTATCCAGTGAATATATACAACTGAAATGTGAGAATAGCTATACTTCCTGCTAGTATATTTATTTGTCAAAACTTCAATATTTTGACAAGTCTTTACCTTGATGGTGGCAAATTTATGAGAATCAAAACTGCCTGGGATGCAACCCCAACTTCCCTACTTACAAACTCCATGATCAGGCTACTTAACCCATCTATACCTCAGTTTCCCCATCTATAAAGTGACTATAATGAGACTAAGCATCTTAGGTAGTTCTGAAAGTATAATGACAGGCATTTATGGTTACTTCCACACACAGATCTGAGGAGAGTCTCCTTTTTAAATGTTGGTCCTCTTTCAGAATCGTTAAAACAAATTTTCAGAAAGATCTTTCAAAATTTGATGCTGGGATCTGAGGATGTGTGAACCTATTCCTTTAAATCATATACAGTGATAAATAAATAAAAATAAAATTTGATGTTGGGATAACTGACCATAGAGCATTATATTTGCATTACCTCAATATACAAACAGTAAATTTAAAAAGTATTTAGATTTCACAATATTTTAATACTGTAAAACATTGTTTCTATTGATATTTTCAAGATACAAAATGAGCTGATAATTAAAGAGACTAAGGAAGTATCCATTTAATTATTTTAGGAGCTATACGTTAAAATACTAACTTGGTAATCACTGCAAATACAGTATAAGCCACTTGGTTTATGGGTGGGAAGATCTCAAAAAAATGGAAATGGGAAAATAGTCTAACTTCTTTCCACAAAAGATAAAAACTACTGAAGATAATGAACTGAACTACTAAATTTCATTCTACTTCACTCATTTTTAATAATATTTGCATCAAGACTACCTTGAGCAAAGGATGTAAAAACCTGGCCCTCATCACCCTTTTCCAATCCTAGAATGATCAATGTCTCACATGAACTGCCAATATGTCCTAAATCAAAATGTGTCTATTTAGATATATTACTATTATTATTATTATTATTATTATTATCATTATCATTATTATTATTAGACACGCGTCTAGAGGCCTATTTAGTTGTAAACTGAAATACTTATAAGGGTTGAGATTTCAAATTTCACCTAGTGGAAACAAGTATCACAGCATCTCCAGACAGTTTCTATTCCTGCCGGGGTACTTGTGAATTAGTCTTACCATCTTAGCAATTCTTGTCATGGGTGCTGGTCACTCTGATTCTATTGCTTTTTCTCAACTAGATACTAATTTGCTCTTGTATCCGATAGTTTCCCAAAACTCCATTAATTATTTTAATGCTTCACAAGAACTCTGAGGGACCAGGATGGCAATGGAAACTACTTGAAAATTATACTATCTGAAAGGTTGTACCCCAGAACATTCTCCATGATTTCACACTTTCTTTGATTTGGGAGAAGTGGCTCAAGGTAATGATATGAACAAAAGGGCTCCATTAATTCTGTAGTAGGTGTGAGGGGTTAAGAAAACTGAAGTAAAAGGAGAGATGTGAAATGAAATCCCTGTTCGTTGGTATTTGAGTTGTATATGAAAAGAAGATTAAAACTTAGTTTGGGGTTCCAAACTACTGTTAAGAGAACCAGCAAGACTCCCTTTTTAAATCTGGAAACTTTGTGAGAAGTTTTTGGTGGGGGGGGGAGGTAAGAATTCAACTTGAGAAAATTACTGCTTTTTTTTTTTTTAGTGTCAGAATGTGACCCCTATAATATTGAATATATATACCACACACTCACTGTGTGAGATGGCATTGTAAAGACTGGCTTTAAAAGTTGACGGTATCAGTGCTGCAAAAGATAATAAGACTCATGCTGGAAGTAATTGCATCACCAGATACCTTTCTTTTTAAAAATCTTATTATTGCCTGTTTTATGGTAAGTGCTGAAAACAAAAACAAAAACATAAAAAAGCACCCGTACAAAACCCTGCAACCACGTCCCCAAAACCTTAAAATTTCTCAAATGTCTCAAGGTCTCCAGTCAAGAAACAAGCTAATAGAAAATAATCAGCGAAGCTTTTGCCGGATCTTCCAGTTTTCCTCCTAGTCTACATCTACTCCTCTTCCTCAATCTCGGTCAGAACCCAGAAGCGACAACACCCTGTCAAGCCAGCCACAATCTGGCTACCCGACGATACCCAGGCCACCCGGCCAGGAGGCGCTGCGGGTCAGTCCCCCGGGGCCACTGGCAACCCGCGCCCAGCCCTCCCTACCCCCACAGCAGAGCCCAACCCAGCGGCTGAGCTCTGAGTTCTGCACCGCCCGCCGGGGTTACTCCCGGTCATTACTCTGCACCATCTCTCCAGCTTCCCCATCTAAGCCGGGTCTAAGGCAGCCCCTACTGACGAGCAGCAAAGGGCAGAAAGATGAGGGGGGCGAGAACGTGGCGGGGGGATGGGGTGGCCGGAGGGTGGGGGTGGCACTCCAAATTCAGGTTTCCTTGGGCTCTCTTTCTAAGTCTTGTTTTATAAAAGAACAAACTCGTCTCCCGCTGCGCTTGGAACACCAACTCCGGTGAGCGCCCGGAGACCTAAGGCAGGTCCCCCAGATCAAACAAAGCCCCCGAGCCTTCGAACCAGCCAGGAAGCCACGGACCCCGTTTAGCACAACCACTACTCGGCTTTGGGGCAGTAAGAAAGCGCCAATCTAGTCTGGAGGCGCACACAGTCGATTCCCAGGTCAAACCAAACAGCTTCCTGAAAGCAGGGTGGGGACTAAGTACTGGCATTGGTGCGGTGGTCGCTGTATGACCCCCATACACAAGGGTTTTCAGCTCTCGGGCGCTTCCTAACAAAGGGGAAAGCTCGAAGCTGGACCTACCACTCTCCGGCAGTAGCGCTCCCAACACGCTCAGGAGCCCTCGACACCGCCGCGCCCGAGGCACTGAGCCCGCGTCCACGCACACAGGGATGCTCCGCGGGTTCCGGCGCCCCGCGAGCCCCGAGCGCAGCAGCGCTGCAGCGCCGCGTCTTAGGGTCGCCAGAGCTCATCTTAGAAAGTCCTTCCCCCACCACGAATGCCGCCCCAGACTCATTTGCAGTGCAAGGGGTGTGGATGAGGGTTTTCCAAAGTCCCTGAAACCCATTGCTTCTCAAAGCTTCCTCGGTTCCTAAACAAAACAATAACGCCCCGGTCACGGGAAAGCCTCTTACCTGTTTTCCACTTTTGTGTTTGCTTCTCTTTCCCCCACCCTATGAAAACCTCTTCCAGAGAAGGGAGAGGAAAAAAAGAGCAAAACGCCCCGAGAAAGTGGCTCTGGCTGGGCAGCTCCTGCAGCGCCCCCAGCCCTGCCCACCTGCACTGGGGTAGAGGCGTCGGTTCGGCTGGGCCGGTTGCGGCCCCACTCACTCTCCCTCGGAATTACGGGGTTTTTGCCGCGACTAGTTCCTTTTATAGATTCGGTCGAGCCGAGCGCTGGGGTTATTATCGGTCAAAGCCTGTTCTCTCCCTCTTTCCCCGCCCCCTTCCCCAGCCTCTGTTTATGTAGTTCAGTCACTCCGCACAAAGCACGTGGAGCCGCGGCCCGCCCCTTAAACGGGCGACGTCCCGCAGTTCCCCGCAGGGCTGGAGGCGGAGAACCCCGGGGAGTGGGTGCTCGCGGGGCCGCCGAGCCCAGGACCCGCGCCTGGGCGCTGCGCCCACATTGAAAGGGAAATGCCGGGCTGGGGGCTGTGCGCGAGGGAGACTGCCTTTCTGGTCACGCTGTAGCTGCCGGTAGCACTAGCGGAAATTGCTTCCTCTAAACAGCAAATTTTTCCCTTTGTTAATTTACTCAGTCCTAGGGCTGAGTTGGGAGAACAGAAACGCGAGGCAGAAACCCTTCCGGACGCCACAGTCTTTCCTTCCTTTGGCAGTCCCAATTGGGGCGGGGGGT